GGACACCGGGTGACATCTGGGGACATCTGTGGCTGTCACACTGGGGGAGCTCCAGGCATCAAGTGGGTGGGGGCCAGGGATGCAGCCCAGCCCCCCACAGCACCCAGGAGTGACCTGGCCCCAGTATCCACAGTACCGAGGGGGGAGACCCTGTTCTGAACGAGGTCCCCCATTTCGCCATCCCCGCAGCCCAGCACTGAGGCCTCGTGTCTCAGCTCAGATCTGTGCTATTCGGGGGCGATACCCTCCTTGATAATGATCGCAGCTTCACAGTACATACTGGTCTGCACTGGGGGCCTTCCCATCCTTGCCCGTCGGACACGCTTGTCCGATCCGTCTGCGGGAGCCGGCTGAGACCTGCCGTGACCTCCCCGCCCCTCCTGGAGGCCAGCCTGATGCTGCCGCGTCTGTTCAGGTTCTATTTTAGGCAAACCCGGAGTCCAGAAAGTGACCCGCCCCTGCCTCCTGGAGCTGCCCCTCCGCCCTCTCCCCCCAGCTTCCCCAGGCCCTGCCGGCTCCGGGGGCTGGCGGACGCTCTGCAGGGCCTGGGCGGGCCGGCGAGGAGGGGTGCCCGGCGCCGTCACGTGCTCTTGCGGCGAGCCGGCCGGTGAGGAATGTTCTCGGCTGACTCAGCGATGCTGCCGCTCCAGCCCGAAGCGGGGGGCACGGCCGGGCCCTGAGTCAGTGCCTGGAGGTGACACCGGCTGGCACAGGGCTTCAGTCTGCCGCATGGGCTGCGGTGACACAGCCAGCGTCTGGGTCTCAGCCTCTCGGCATGCTCACACACATACCCCTATGCACACACGCTCACACATAGGTACACACACAAACACACACAGCGACACACATACACACACATGCATACACGGATATAAGGGCACAAACACGCCTGCACATGTGCACATGCACGAACACACCTACGGATATGCACGCATGTGCACACGTGCATTCACACATATGTACATGCACACAAACACATGCACACATGCACCCACAAACACCCACACACATACCCTGCAGCCCTCTGGCCATTCCCCGGGGTCTGGGTTATGACCAGGCTCAGAGGGAGCATCTGAGGGTCTGGTGCCTGGAGCAGAAAGCCAGCCGCGCTCGGGCTCCAAGCTTACGGGGACGGCCACGGTTTGGGGTGGCCTCACGGGGTGGCCGGGCCCCAGGGCCCCGGTGGACACCTCTGAGTGCGGCCCTGAGCAGGTCTCCCGCCTTCCAAGGAAACACGCCGTGGGGCCCACCCGTTTGTTCTCTGTGCGCGTCTATATTTAGCGCTGAGTAATTTCAGTATTTTTAAGCAGAACCAAGGGCGGTTTTCCCTGAGCTGGATGTTTTGTGGCTGCTTTGAAGCTGTCTGCTGAATCAGAGCCTTCTGGAAGGCCACACGTGGGCTCCGCGCGCCCAGGGCAGACACACTCCGGCCCCTACTGACCCCGGGGTGGGGGGGGGGGTCTGGATGTCTGCCGGGGTGCGGGGAGCCAGCCGTGTGGCCGGGTTTGGTTTTTAATTGAAACCTGTGTGGAGATCTCTGTCGATCGCCGTGCATGGGATTTGTAACAAGCCCCAGAGAGACATTCCCTGCATCCTTCAGTCCATCTCCCACTGGTAACATTGTGTCCAAACTCGGCCAGCAGCCCAGGCGGGCTGTTGGCGCTGTGCATCCTCCCGCCCCTTTCCCTTTCTGCAGGTTACTCCTCTGCCTGAGCGTGAAGTTCTCTGCACGCTGATCCCACGTGCAGGCGCGTGCATCCACCGCCACGGTCCAGACACGAGGTTTCCAGCGCCGCAAGGACACTCCTGTCACCTTCGCTCCCCAGACCCCCCCACCTGCCCCTGATCCCGGGAACCTTGAATCTACCCCCATCGCTACAGTCGGGTCCTCTCTGAAACCTTCTCTAAGTGTGACCTTTGGGCATTGGCCTCGTTCACCCAGCAGAGCTCCCGAAGAGCCATCCAAGGGGTTGTGTGCGTCAACAGTCCGTTCCTTTTTACTGCTCAATAGGAAATTTGTTTTTTTTTTTGAGGAAGATTAGCCCTGAGCTAACATCTGCTGCCAATCCTCCTCCTTTTGCTGAGGAAGACTGGCCCTGAGCTCACACCCGTGCCCATCTTCCTCTACTTTATATGTGGGACGCCTGCCTCAGCATGGTTCACCAAGCGGTGCCATGTCCGCACCCAGGATCCAAACCGGCAAATCCCAGGCCGCTGAAGCAGAACGTGCGCACTTAACCGCTGCGCCACCGGGCCAGCCCCATCAATAGGACATTTTTTGAAAATCTGCAATCTGCCTTTGATTTTCTGGAGCTACCTGGCTCTGATCATGGAACAGACAGAGCTACAGTGTGTCACGCGGAAGGCTGAGTGCTCCTTAGTTACCCAGTTAAATGTCGGCCCCCTGGGTCCCCAGCTTCCCAGGCTGCTTGCACTGGGGCCTTGCACGGCCCCCCAGCACTGACCCTCATGGGGGTTTCCTCAGCCTCAACACTGATGACATCAGGCCCGGTCACTCTCTGGGGGGCCGTCCTGGGCGCTGTGGGGGGCTGAGCAGCATCCCTGGCCCCACCCACTCGATGCCAGAAGCCTCCACAGTGTGACACCCACAGATGTCCCCGGACGTCACCCACTGTCCCCTGGGGGCAGGGACACCCCGGGTGAGAACCACGAGGGACCACTAAATGAAGATTGGGTGGAAAAAGTAGAATTTTCACTGCCTCCAGGAACAGATAAAAAATTTGCATAACTGAATGATAACTTATCACTCGCACACTGCCGGTGGGAAGTAAAATGACCCAGCCGCTCTGGAAAACAGTCTGGTGTTTTCTCTAAAATGTTAAACATGCAGTCTTGCTCCTCGGCGTTCATCCCTGGGTGTTTATAAAGACTCGTGTCTGCTCAATGCTTACACAATGAAGCGGGCTTCTTCACAACAGCCAAAAAGTGGAGTCGGCCCAGACAGATGTCCTTCACCAGGTTACCCTCTGGCCCACCCGTGCTGTGGAATACTACTCGGCAGTGAAAAAGGATAAACCAGCCGTACGTGAGCCACCTGCGTGGATCTCCAGATAGTTGGGGGGGGAACATTACATACCTATGGTTCCGTTTATATAACTTTCTCAAAATGACGGAAGTACCGAAAAGGAGAACCTCTGGGTGGTCGCCAGGGGCCAGGGGTGGAGATGCCCCAGATCTTCCCTGTGTCAGTGTCAACGTCCTGGTCGTGACCTTACTGCGGTTTGGGAAGATGTGGCCGCCGGGGGAGACCCATCCAGGGATCGCGGCTCCCTCCCTGTTATTTCCCACAGCTGCGTGTGACTCTATGGGCATCTCAGCGTCTAAAATGTCATTGAAAACAAATCACTTAAAACATTTTGGAAAGAAAATAGAAATCATCCTAAACGATAGCGAAGTAGGAATTATTGGTGCAATGCAGGATTGGCCTTCTCTGACCCCACGACACTGGGATGTGTGACCCCCAGTTCCCAAGGGCGCGTGGAGGTAAAGAGGTCGATGGTGGGATTCAGTGCAGAAGAAACAGCAGGCGCCTCCTCGTCCTGGCACTGAGGTGGCTGGAGGTCCACCCGGGCTTGTGGGGAGAGCGTTTATCTCGAACCATCCACCCGTCCAAGCTCACCATCCTCACTCAAGGAAACCATAGTGTCTGCCCCAATTCAGGTCCACCCAGAACCTCAGGATGGGACCCGATCTGGAAAGAGGGTCCCTGCAGACGTGATCAGTGAAGATGGGGTCACCCTGGAGTCGGGGCCCAGTGCACTATGGCTCGTGTCCTCATAAGAAGAGGGGAATCTGGACACAGGCCCGCACGGGGGAGAAGCCGAGGGCGGGGTGACACGGCCCCAGCCCAGGAGCGCCCAGGATGGCGGCCACACCAGAGGCTGGGAGGGGCGAGCGGGACCCCCCCTGGAGCCTGTGGAGCGAGCGCGGCCGTGCCCGCCCGGATCTCGGACTTGCAGGCTCCAGAATGTGAGAGAAGAAATTCCTGTTGTTTCCTGCTGCCCCGCCTGTGGTCATTTGTCCGGGCCACCCCAGGACACTAATAAGGGAACATTAGCCCCAGACTTTGGAAAGTTCTGGAAAACCCTGCAAAACCAACTGGGCTCCCTCACCCTCTGGCGACCGCCGTCCCTGAGTCTCCCGGGCTTTCTGACGTGATCCCCTCCCCTGTGCTGTTCCCCGCCCCCCGACCCAGAGCCGCTCCTGTGCAGCCCTTCCTGCCCCGGGCTCCCGCTGTGTCCTCAGAGGGGACGCCCCGGACACAGGCCGGGGGTCTGAACCGGGGAGCTGGCTCCCGTGGGGCCCGCGGCCTCCGTGCGTCGGCTTGATTCTCAGAGCGGCGTGGGGCACCTGGTAGGGACGTTCTCTGTGACAGTTTGCTGGACGAGCGGACAAAGGAAGGAAGGAAGGACATAGGGCCAGGCCCCCCAGAGTAGGGGTGACGTACCCAGGGCCACAGTGTGCCGTCTCCCAGGTGATCTGGAGCCAGGGAGCTCACCCGGGGTGGTCCTGCCCCCCAGGGGACCCTGGGCCATGTTCGGGGACATCTGTGGTTGTCACACTGGGGGTGCTCCTGGCATCGAGTGGGTGGGGCCAGGGATGCTGGTCAGCCCACTCCCCCCAGTGCCCAGGACGCCCCCCAGAGAGTGACCCAACCCCGATGTCACAGTGCAAGGGGGAGACCCGGAGCGGAGCGTCCATCAGAGACGACCCCAGCTCTTCCTTGCCGAGCCTCTCCCTCTGAGCCAGCCAGGAGCCGAGGCCGCTGTTCCATGGGCTCTCCTGGGGCCCTCGAAGGTCGCTGCCTGAGAGCACTTACCCCCAGCTGGCCGCAAGCGGGGACTGGGGACGCGGACAGCGTGGCTGCAGGGCGGCGGGCTGGCGAGGCTTCCAGGAGCGGGGCGTGCTGCCGCTCCGTCCTCGGCCCGCGGCCCCGGGGCCTCCCCAGCCGGCTCACGTCCGTCTGCTTCTCCCCACAGCTCTCTGGACGCCGGGGCCCAGAGCTGATGGCAGACAATGTCAGCCACTAACAACATAGCGCAGGCCCGGAAGCTGGTGGAACAGCTGCGGATCGAAGCCGGGATCGAGCGCATCAAGGTGAGCCGGGCAGGCGGAGGAGGGGAGAGACCCTCGGGCACAGCGTGAGAGCTCCGGCTGGGCCTCTTGCTGTGTGACCTTGGGCCGCTGACTTAACCTCTCTGAGTCTCAGTTTTCTCAGCAGAAAGGCACAGTTGACGTAAACCTTCATTCTGGGTTGTTGTGCCATCCAATGTGCCACAATGCTTCATAAACACAGCGGGACCAGAGTTCTGTGAACCCGACCCCCAGCCCTTGGGATCCTGCCCCGGACGGCCCAGCGAAGGGTCAGCGGGAAGCAGGCCCTGCTCTCTCTCTCTGTCCCTTCATTTGCAGAGCTGTGTCCAGCTCCCTCGTCACGACAGATGGGGACAGAAGTTAGAGACCCGGCCCTGGGGAAGGAAGGACGCAGGGCTGGTCATGGGCTCCCTTCTTCACTTCTGTGCTGACTGAATTTTTTGCAATAAGCACGTTTGATTTTTAGGCTAAAAAAAGAAAAAGGACAAACAGTTCCTGCTTGCAGACGCTTAGCCCGTCGGAGACCAGGAACGTGCAAAGCAAAATGAGATCCCGCACGGCCGGGCGGCCAGCTCCGCACACTGGCTTTTTCTTTACGATTCGCATCCCGTGAAGTTAGCCATTTTTAAAGTGCACAATTGAACAGCATTTGGTGAATTCAAAAGGCTGTGCAGCCAGCACCATCTAGTTCCAGAACATTCCATCAGCCCAAAAAGCACCCCTGTTCCCCTTAGCAGTCACTCCCCACCCCCTCCCCAGCCCCTGGCACCCACAAGCCCACTGTCTGTGGATCTGTCTGTTCTGGACGTTTCATGTCAATGGGGTCACAGGCCATGTGTCCTTCTGTGTCTGCGTCTCTCCCTGAGTGTCGTGTGTTCAGGTCCGTCCACATGCAGCTGTGTCAGGGCCTCGCTCCTCTTCACGGCTGCGTAATATTCCAGCGTGTGGGGGGACAATGTTGTGTTTATGTAGATGAATTTTAAACCCACGAGGGGACATCAGGACAACATCCAGGGTTCACAAGTTTCCCCCTTTCAAAGGGCATGGACCAGCGGGCCAGTCATGGCTTCTGACACTTTTCAAAGTCACCTTTGTGGCTAGGTAAGGACCAAGGAGTCTCCATCTGGAAGACCTGAGCCATTTACATGTCTAGATCAGTCCTGCTCCAGCTCCCTACTGGAGTAGCCAAGGTTCTCCAGAAAAAAACAGAAGCAACAGGGTGTGTGTATATAGACAGAGAGAGAGAGAGAGAGAGAGAGGTAAACGTATTTTGAGGAATTGGCTGATGAGATTGTAGGGCCTGGCAAGTCCCAAATCTGCAAGGCAAGACCACAGGCGGAGACCTAGGGAAGAGCTAATGTTGCAGCTTGAGTCCCCAGGCAATCTGGAAGCAGAATTCCCTCCTCCTCGAGGGACTTCAGTCTCTTCTCTGAAGGCCTTCAACTGATTAGATGCGGCCCACCCACTCACAGAGGGTCATTTACTCAAAGTCAACTGACTTAAATGTTAATCTCATCTAAGAAATACCTTCCTAGAGACGTATAGACCGGTATTTGACCAGATATCTGGGTACCGCAGCCAAGTCAAGTGGACGCAAAATCACCCATCACCCCATGTGTTTGTTCAGACCCGGATTTCCTGAGCACCTGTCATTTCCCAGTCACTGCTGGTCTCGGGAACTCACCAGGGAGGGATGGTCCGGCCCCCGGTGCAGACAGACTCACCCCTGACGACCAGACAGCGGAAGGGAGTCAGAAGCCGTTGTGATGGGCCCAGCCAGGTGGGGAGGAGGGCTGTGGTAACCCCTGCCCCGGGGAGGGTGCTGCCCCAAAAGGTGTCTGAATGTTCCAGAACTCTGCACATTCAAAGCATTCCTTGGGGCCGGAGAAAGAGCCAGGCCCGTGGCGCAGGGCAATGATTCACCCGCCGTTTGCTGTGCAGGAGGAGCCTGGGCCGGCCGTGAAAGCCGCGAGGAGGGAGTCAGCACAGGACCCCTTCTCCCTCCCGGTGCCCCCAGCCTGGCGGCCGGAACCACAGGGCATCATGTCTGCAAGTCCAGCCAGCCGAGGCCCGGCCAGCAAGCGTCCCCACGGCCTGGAAAGCCCGGAGCCCTGGGCACAGCCTGCTGTCACCCCGGGGACGCGGCGGGTGGGGCCCCACGCCGGCCCCACGACCTCAGCTATTTCCAGGGTCTGGAGACTATTTTTGGCGTCTAGGAGGAATGCTTTCCAGACAGAACTCTGGAAACCCAGCGCCGCCGCGGTCATCAAAGGCAGCCGGGAGTGGCCCCGTGGGCTCCCGACAGTGGCAATTGTCTCTGAGGACAGGAGTGTCCCCGGGGCAAACCCAGAGAAGCCCGCGGGCTCTCGGCAGCAGGGGACGCAGCGGGGCCGTCCTGGCATCCAGGGTCGCAGGGTCTTGGGTGCAGACACAGCTCACAGAGAGGTTTCAAAGCGTTTTTCTCAGCCCTGCCTCGACTTACCCTCAGACTTCCCCTGCACAGCCACCGCTTCACAGGTCAGAAAGTGTGGGGGCTGAGAAAGGCGATCCAAGTCCACCAACACAGTTCCCACCACTGGGTGAGATCCAGGCGCCCCACGCACCCCGGCCCGGGACACCCGAGACCAGCGCCCCAGCCCCCTAGCCCTGCGGGGTGAGCAGAGGGGGCGGCTCCTACCGCACCCTGAACGCGCCCCCAGGAGGAATGGGGCACGTGACCCAGGGATGACCCCCGAGCTCCCTGGACACTAAGCACCGCTTTTTCCCACGTCAGCTGTCCCAGGGGCTGGGGTGGACCCCCCGGCATCTCCTCCCTCCTCTTTCGGGGACCGTGATGCAGGTGGTCCCGAGCGTCAGCCCCCTCGCTGGGGTCACCAAGACCCCGAAGGGCTCAGACGACACAGAAATGAAACGCAACACGTCTGTCTCGTCCCCCTCGGTCCTGCCGAGGTCCAGGCAGGGTCTGTCTGTCCGGACCTCTCTCAGGCGGGAGGGGGTCCTTGACCAAATCCGTCTCTCCCTCAACCCTTTTCTTCAAAATCTGGGCAACTCCTGCTGAAGGAATTGTTCTTTTTAAATCTTTTAAAAATTGGGGCAAAATACACATAACATAAAATTAGCGATTAGTGATATTTAGGACATTCACAGTGTTGCACAATCATCACCACGATCTATTTCCAGAACATTCCATTACCCCAAAGAAGCCCCGTCCCCATCAGCAGACACCCCCACCCCTTCCCCAGCCCCTGGCACCCATAAGCCCGCTCTCTGTCTGTGGATCTGCCTGTTCTGGACGTTTCATGTCAATGGGGTCACACGCCGTGTGTCCTTCTGTGTCTGCTTATCTCTCTGAGCGTCATGTGTGCAGGTCCGTCCACGTGCGGCTGTGTCAGGGCCTCGCTCCTCTTCACGGCTGCGTAATATTCCAGTGTGTGGATGGACACATTGTGTGGATCCATCAGCTGTCGATGGGCACTGGGGTTGTGTCCACCTTTTGGCCATTGTGTACGATGCTGTGCACCTGCGTGTGTCACCCTTCTTATCTTTGCTCTCTCGTCCTTGTCCCCACACCCAGGTCTCCAAAGCCTCGTCGGAACTCATGAGCTACTGTGAGCAGCACGCCCGCAACGACCCCCTGCTGGTCGGCGTCCCTGCCTCCGAGAATCCCTTTAAGGACAAGAAGCCGTGTATTATCCTATAGCTCTGCTTTCCTGTGTGTCCCCCGCCCCTCTCTGTCTCCGTCAGGGTGTCATTCAGCACGTAGTCAAGCAAAGAGCTCGAGTCCCCAAAACTTTTAATTCCAAAAGAAATGCACAGCATCGCCACCACCCACATGGGGTAAAAGGCACCCTCTGGGTTTATTGGGGTTTCCAGACCCAACGACGCGCCTCTCCCGGCCCGGCTGGATGGGACGGTGGCTTCCCGCCACTTCCGACCAGGAATCACTGGCGTGCCGGGCAATGTGGTAGCGATTTTTTAAGCCTCTTGGTTGCCCTTTGAGCTGGTGGCCCGGAGCCAGGCCGGGCCGGGAAGGGGCGCAGGCGGGTGAGTTTGCCACCAGCCCGCGCGATTCTCGCACGATCGGCCGTTTGTGAAAAGACTTTTCGCCAGATCGATGCTGCTGTGCTTTTTTTTTTTTTTCTCTTGAGCGGAGTAAAATTGGGTGGGGGGAGGCAGGGGAGGGACATAAGGAACTTTTCTGGGAAAATTTCTCCTTCCTTCTTAAAAAATTGTGATTGCATACTGCTCAAATCAGACCTTGACAGCTGAGCTGAGGCTTAACTGTGCCGCGTAATCATGCACAGGTGGGTTTCTGCGGCCGCCAGGGGGGCTTTGTCTGCGAAACGCACCCCGTGTCGCCCAGTGCACCCCCGCTGTGTGGCGTTTTTGTGGCATGCGTCGCTCGACCGCCACACCGTGGGCCCCGCCCTTTGCTGGGGACCCCGCGTGTCACCCAGGTGGCTGTAGCATCACCCTGGGCGTTTTTCAGACAGAAATGCACCCCGGGGAGGCTGGGGCCTGGGCGGCTGGTAAAAGGTGTGCGATTGTCTGGAAGGAGGCAAGGGGCGTTCTGAGCAGAATTCTCCAGCATCCCGGCAGCCTCGGCAAGCTAAGCATCCTGGAGTTGACAAGTTGGGGCCAGGGAACCTGTTTTAATGACTTCTCCCCTGTTAGCCGCGGAGCAACCCCCTCCCCCGCCGGCGGCCGCGGGGACCCCACACAGCCCTGAACATCCCCACCCGCCCTGTCACTCACCCTGGGCCCGGTGGCGAGAAACTGGTCCAGCTCTGCAGAGTCTGAGGGCCCCATCCTCGCCTTCGGGGGCCAGAGCCTCGTGCCCGTGCTCACCCGAGCCCCCGGGGCAGCGCCAGGCTCTGAACTCACCTCGCCGGGAGGGTCGGGTGGGATGCAGTGCGCGCGGGTGGGCGCCCCTCCCTCCCCCCCGCCGGCCGGCTTGCGCAGGCGCAGACCGCACGGCCGAGCCCCCAGTGCCCAGCTTCTCCGGCAGGTCCGGGAGCCCCAGGGGGCTTTGGGGAGCCCGGCTCCTGCAAAGCTGCGCTTGGATGGGGACGCCACCAAGGGTCCCCGAGGCTGCAGCCGCCAGCCTGGGGGCGCCTCTCCCCACCCCCTGCAGAGCAGCAGGACGGAACAAAAGACTGTTCTGGAAACCCAGGCGCACCCAGGGGGAGGCCGGGGCGCGGCGGGGATTAACCCCCAGACGCCTGGGGGCCGGGGGGCAGGTGGCAGAGCCGGGCTCGTGGAGGCCACGTCGGCCGGCGAGGGTGACCCCGGCCACCCGGCCCTTCCCACCTGCTGTCTGGTGACTGGTGGCCAGTGCCCCCCCTTTGCTCCGTGAAAGAAGCCTTAATGCCTTGAGCCCGCGTCAGATCCTTGCACGCCCGTCCTTCCTCCTGCGTCCCCCAGCATCCCCGTCCTCCGGCCACTGGGCCCCAAAGCGGACGGGAGGTCCTGACTCCAGCCAGGAGCGCCCCAGGGGCCCAGCCCTCCCCTCTCTTCGTCCCCTGCCGTGCCAGCTGTGCCAAGCCCCGCCGTGTGTCCCCAGCCGAGTGACCCTGAAGAAGCCAGCAGGAAGCAAAGCCCCCTAGGACCCCCGGCTGAGGGAGGGGGGGCATGATCGCCCACCCCCCCAGGCCGGAAGCAAATTCGAACCCAGGCCAGGGGGCGGGAGGAGGCTCCCCAGTCAGAGACCCCAGAGACCGAGCCATCTGGGTAAACTGAGGCCCACGAGGGACAAGGACTGGCGGGCCCCCGCCCCATCACCACACCTGCTCAGCTGCCTCCCCCTGAGCCCAGATGCCCACAGCCTCAGACCCCAGGGAGGGGGCGATGGACAGAAGCCACACCATGGGTTTCCTTCTAGCTGAGAAAAAGGACCGCCCCACCCCTTAGAGTCGATCTCAGCGCCAGTGCACTTGTGCTGTCCTGGCGAGAGCGGCTGGCGTGCAAACGGGGTTTTTGGGACTGTACCTGCCCAGCGAGGCAGCGGGCTGGCGGTGGTGGCAGCATCACGGACCTTGGGGAAACCACCATCGAAACTATGTCATGGGGGGGTGATGAAGGATACACATGCACCCCCAAAAAAGGGCAGGGGTGGGAGACACGGAGCCCCCCTTTCTTCTGCAGCCTGTTCAGTGTTTCCAGGGGGCCCCGCCCAGCCCCTGACCGTGGGGGCACCTCCCCTCCCCTCCCCCACTCCAGGAAGGAGCCAGAATGTGCACCCCCCCCCGCCACCCTCCCCCAAGGTGACCCCCAGGCCAAGAATTAAAGGACTCGGTTGTGACCTCCAGCCCCAGGACAGTAGCCGCTGGGCCACACCAGGCGGAAGGTGCTGTCTTTCTTCTGAGGTCCCGGCCACTGAGTGGGGACGGTGGCAGGCCTCCAGGCAGCTCATCCATATGTGACCAGCTGCAGCCCTGCCCGAGCTCTGGGGCGGGCAGGAAAAGGCCATCGGACCACCGCCCCAAGCACGAGTAACCAGGGCCGTTTTCAGGCTGAGGTGAGGCCACCAAGGTCACTCTTATAAAAAGCCAGCCCGCCACGGGGTCCCTGGACAAGAAGCCATATGCGGGTCACTCGCCCTCTTTCTCTGTCCCCCGTGGAAACCATTGCCAAACATTGTAAAGACCAGTCCCTGGTTTTCGCAAGAGATCTGTGGTTCCAGCAGGTTCCACCCCGTCTGCATTTGGATGTCCCGTGGTTTTTATTTCCGATTTTTAAAAAAAAAAAAATTCCAAGTGTGCCACACCCAGTTTCTCGCAGTGTTTTAATATTGTGTGGAATCGTTAATACAAAGTGAATTAATCCACAATAAAGCAGCTCAGTGTTCCTTTTCTCCCGGCTCCGGGCCCTTCCTTCTCTTCTGGCTGCTGGGTGGGGCGGGATGACCTGGCTTGGCTCCGGCAGAGGTGAGGGGCTACCCGGGAAAGAGGCAACATGGATGGACCCGGGCCTCGGACAGTAGCCCAAATGAGTAAGCTTTAGCTCTGATGGCTTTCTGATTTGCAGGGGGAAAAGCTACTTCAGGATCCGCACGCGCCACAGGGCCCACAGTTCAGGACCGTTGCTGTCAGGTACAGACATGGGAAAGGGCCTGGAGCCTGGGAAGATCTTAATCTCACCCCTTTGGGCTTGTTCCCTGCCCTCCCATCGCCCAGAGACTACCCTTGACCCCCAGATGTCGAGCAAGTCAGGGCCCTGACTCATACTGTACCAGGAAAAAAAGCTACATTTTTAATAATAAATCTGTAAATGGGTGATTCTGACCTCTGAGCAGAGAAGAGCTTTCTCTGTGTCAAGCATTTATAGATTCAATGACGTAAACATTATCTCCTATGAATCAAAAAATATAAAATGAGAAGGCAGTTCAGAAACCTAAAGATCGAACGGCTCCATGACCCAGCAGTTCCACTTCTGAGCCTGTAGAATAATCGAGAGCAGGGGCCCAAACAGACAACTGCACGGCAGCCGAAAAGTGGAAAGACCCCAAGTGTCCATCAGCAGGTGAATAGATGAACAAGATGTGGTCCGTCCACACCCTGGAATATTACGCAGCCGTGAAAAGGAAGGAGGTCCTGACACCTGCTCCCACGTGGACGGACCTGGAGGATGTGATGCTCAGGGACGTGAGCCAGACACAGAGGGACACACACTGTGTGGGCCACTCACAGGAGGTCCCCAGAGGAGCCACATCCACAGAGACAGAAAGTGGATGGGGGGCCAGGGGCTGGGGGAGGGGTGGGAGTCAGTGTTTCATGGGGACAGAGCTTCCGTTTGGGGAGATGGAAAGGTTCTGGAGACGGATGGAGGGGACGGTGGCACAACCGTGTGAATGTGCTTCACGCCGCTGAGCTGTGCACTGAAAAAAGGCCCCACAGGCCACATGTCCTGCCTCCCCATGCAGGAACTTCAAAGACAGTGTGCTCAGAACGAGGGAACCTGGGACCCTCTTTGCATTTGCAACCAACTTTTCAAGAAATGCAATGCCAAAAGTGTTCACTGACCTTGAGTTCTCCTTCACGAAAACCTCTTTGCTCGGGAGACAATGTAAATTTAAAAAAAAAAAAAAAAAGGTCCCGAATCCCTTTCAAATCAAAATGACTGCATTTTATGAAATTAAGAGGCTAATCTTTAACTCAGGATCAGTCACTTTTTAATTTTTTTTGGTGAGGACAATTGGCCCTGAGCTAATATCTGTTGCCAATCTTCCTCTACTTTATGTGGGACGCCGCCACAGCGTGGCTTGATGAGCGGTGCTAGGTCTGTGCCCGGGATCTGAACCTGCGAGCCCCAGGCTGCTGAAGCGGAGCACGGGAACTTAACCACTCAACCACGGGGCTGGCTCCATCAATCATTTTTTAAAGGTGCCTGGAGATACCACACTCACGTCACAGCTGTATCCAGAGCCAGGTCCGTAGCACCACGGCTGTTCAAACACATCATGCTTATTCGTTCTTTTAATTTATGGACACCAAATACTGATCGGTGCACAACAGGGACATGAATGTGGCAGCGAGAACACTGACTTAAGAGGCCAGATCTCTATCCAGCTCAGTAATTGAGCTCAGAGCCTCTTTATTTACTTTTTTTTTTTTTGAGGAAGATTAGCCCTGAGCTGACATCTGCTGCCAATCCTCCTCTTTTTGCTGAGGAAGACTGGCCCTGAGCTCACATCCGTGCCCATCTTCCTCTACTTTATATGTGGGACGCCTACCACAGCATGGCCTGCCAAGCGGTGCCATGTCCACACCCGGGATCCGAACCGGCGAACCCCGGGCCACTGAAGCAGAACGCATGCACTTAACCGTTGTCCCACCGGGCCGGCCCCTCAGAGCCTCTTTAGACTCTTGTGTTATCTCCCAAAGAAATGATAAGTGTGAGGCGTGGACTGACCAGATTGAAAGACCGTATTCATCTTCCAATTTTAAATCTGTGTCCCGTTACCAGACTCCACCACCTGCAGGGCACGACGAATTCATCTCTTTATAAACCGCGTCATCAGTTTGTGAATAGCGTCTTCTATTTTTCCTTCTGCAATCTTGTTTTTCTTCTTCTTCTGCAATGTCTTTATCCTGTTTTGGTATTTCTTCTTCTTTTAAATACATTTTAAAACCTCACCAAGTGGAAACAGCCCAGCCTCCCTGTGACCTTGGGCAAGTCACTCGAACAAGTGGTGTTTAATTTCAGAGTTGAAAGCAAGGTCAAAAGCATCTACTGAGACCTTCAGGGGTTCCTGATAATGAGAAAAGGCAGCAGTCACAACCTAGAGGAAGCGCCACACCAGTAACACCGCGTCCAAATAGCAAAAGCGGGGCTGGCCCGGTGGCGCAGCGGTTAAGTGCACACGTTCTGCTTCAGCGGCCCGGGGTTCCCCGGTTCGGATCCCGGGTGCGGACATGGTACCGCTTGGCAGGCCATGCCGTGGCAGGCGTCCCACATATAAAGTAGAGCAAGATGGGCACGGATGTGAGCTCAGGGCCAGTCTTCCTCAGCAAAAAGAAGAGGATGGCTGGCAGATGTTAACTCAGGGCTAATCTTCCTCAAAAAAAAAAAAGCAAAAGCAAGAACTGTAGGAACTGCAAGGATCCTGCAATAGTTCTAGAAGACCAGTCCTAACGTTCTTTCCTCATTTCTGTAACTTCAGATGCACCGCCCTGCACAGGAAATGCAGGGTGCACACAGGCGAGTGCAGTATCCCAGTGCTGGAGGGGCAGGTCCGGTTGCCCAGGAAGCAGACTGCCTTGTGTTCAGGATGTTTATTAGAGGGGACTTTGGGGATTAAAACATGTGGAAGGGAGAGGGAGGGACCTCAGGCCGCCCCCGCTAGAACAGCCCTTGTGGGGCCCGAATGCAGGCCTTTCTATCTCCGTCTTGAGCGGCCATCGGACAGGCTGCCTCCAGAGGCCTGTGACCCGGGCCACGCAGCTCTCTGCCGCTCGCCGAAGCATTTCCTCAAGGAGCTCGCCACTGAAGGGTGTCCACAGACAACACTCCCAGAGGCCAGGGCGACCCGGCCTCCCTCGAAGGGACGTGGGCAGCGCATCCCCACGCCCGCCGGCCTCGTCCATCTTTAGCTTTCCTGCTGAACCTTCTTCTAGGCATAAACATTTGGCACCAACCAGCTCCACGAAGGGGAACCCTTTCGAAATTGACTGACGCAAACGAGAGGAGGATTACGGAGCACCGCCAGCCACCCTTCGCGTTGCACACGTTTTATTTGTAATAATCAGAAAGGTGGATTTCGTGCTAGAGGAGGGGTAAACGAGACTCTTCTAAGGCCGTGGTGCAGAACCAAAGTGGGGACCTCAGTGATGACTTTGATCCTCTCTATCAAGACTTCCACCTTTGACCCGCTGCCAGCAGCAGAAGCCTCCCACGGCGACCTTCCCTCCTCTGGAAGCCCGCCCCAGCCCTCCTGGCTGGTCCGTGCGGTTCCAAGAAAATCCTTCACAAGCAAACGCTGGGCTCTGAAGTCCGGGCAGCCAATGAGGCGGCTCAGGATTCAGTCCCTCCAGAGATCCAAAGAGATGAGGGGAAAAAACCCACATCAGGGGCCTCGGAGGCAGCAGCGAAGTCTCCAGGCTCGGGGGCGTCCCCCTGGGTGGCCACAGCAGGCTCAGCGCTTTCTGCAGCGCACGTGTGGCTGATGCGTAGAAGCCAGCGCAGCGTTTACAGTGGAAAGAGTGATGCAAGGCCTCGCTGGCGAGCCTGCCTGAAGAATGTGGCCCTCTTTCTCACCGAAATTTATCACCCTGGGAAGAACTCCAAGCCCAGGGTTGAGAAAGGAATTTTTCCTCTGGTCAGAATGCAGTCGGTCGGCCTACACAAAAGTAGACCAGGGCGAGGAGCAGAACTGGGCTAGCCAACAGGTGTCTGGGCTCTTAATCCCAGCTCCACCCCTCATCTGCTCTGTGATCTCACATGGCAAACACATCCCTTCTCGGATCTTCGGTTTCCAGAGACGACTCAGTGATGTCTCCTTACTCCCCTCTTCCAGGATCAAGAAGATGTACAGCCACAGATCGAGTGGCATGCGGATTCTGGAGCAAGTCGTAGTGACACTTCCCCTTCTCAAGCTTCAAACCCTGGGCAAGAGATCAGCTTTAAGCTGGAGAAAGGCAATTCCTGGAGAACATTCCAGAAAAGCCCGACTTGCTCTGCCAGGTAATTTATCTGCCCCCAACACACTCCTTAAGTATGAGAAGACTCTAGAACGGTTCTGAGTTTGGCAAATCTTCACGTCCCCATCCTCAAAGCCACGTGGAGCTGCCTCTGGAAAGGAGAAATTCTCAGACCAGGGTCTAAAAGTTTCATGGGAATGTGGGCACAACGATGGCGTCAGAGCCACAGACACCCGTCTAGTGGAAGGCATGAAAAGGGCTGGCTTAGGGGTAAAAGAAAGCCCAGGCCAGACCCCTGGGTCATGGAGCAGTGCTCCCAGCAACATCCGGCCCTGGGAGGCAGCGGTGGCCACTGCTGTCCTCCCCACACTCCTGCTGCCTCGTCTATCCGCCAGCCTCATCCTGGCCACCTTGGGGACAGAGGGAGGAAGGAAATGCCCTCCACGTCTGGTCTCTTTCCTGCCCAGCACCTTGTGACGCGCTCCCTCCTCGGGCTCTTGCAGGCTCCTTACTCAGATCCGGAGGGCTGCAGCCGGCTCAGGCCCCGGACTGTGGAACCCACCATCTTCCCGTGACAGTTGGCAGGATGGCTCCGCAGTGGTTCTCTCGCACGACCTCTGAAAGCATTCCAACGAGGCAGCAGGCGAAATGCAAGGAAAAGGAACAGGCCAGGCAGGATCTGCCACCATCTTGGCTGGGCGACTTCCAGCATCTC